GGGTTGGATTGGGGTATCTACTAAAATGAAGACAAAGGGATACTTACATAAATCTCCTGGGCAATTGATATAACAAACAAATCAAAAATAGACTGGGAACACCTCAAGGAATTTAATATAGGGCGCCACTTGAAGGATCCTAGTTTACTGAAGGAAAGAAAAAATTCTTCTTCCTAATGTCTAAAATACATAAAAAGGGTTTAGGAGATTTTTCTAAATAAAAATAAAAAAATAGGTTAGAGAAACAAATTTAACGTTTATTATTGTCTCAAACAGTTTTCAAAAATACAGCTTATACAAAAGGCATACTATATAAAATAGTTGTCAAATACAAATAAAGAAACTTACATGTTATCTGTTTACAAAGAGGTTACAAAAACCTTCGAAATGGTTCCTGGTAAATAATGTGGCCAAATTAGATTAAAATTTTATGGATATCCTTTTGTGAAAAATAAAATTTAATCTTTACTATAAAATCAAAATATCTTTTACAACAGATTCAAAATCAAACTGTCATACGTCAAAACAAACATTTTTAAGACAGGATAAAATTATGACCGATGACAGTTTAAACCACGCCCTAACTAATATTTATTTTAATTACAAATTTAAAAAAAAATAATTTATAAAAGAAAGCAAATTTTGTCTTTTTAAAAGAAAATGTCTATTTTTACTTTAAAAATTAATAACGTAAATGTTACCTCAGTTCACACATGTCAACTTAAACTTTTGAACAACTGGCTAATAGGTATCTGTGGGGTATCTAACTGAAACATCATCAACGGAAAACTTTCTTGGAGGCTGAAGCTGGCACACTGGCACATTCAAATCAAAACTGCTCCAATATCATTCTACGTGAGGTGAAGAGGCATCTTGGAAAGGAACTGGATTTCTCAAAAAAAAACGAAAAGAAAGCAGGAACTAAACTTGTTCACTTCTCAAACATTATAAATCTTCAGCAAAATCAAAACAGTGGTTAGTGGTCACTCTTTCAAATACGACATATTACATAGAGTGAAAATTCCACCATTTTTGGCGAATTAATGCCGGGTTACCACATCACAATTAAACGACCTTTCCCTTCGAGCAATTCTTCATCACTACCTCTCTTGACCTCGATCTCAACCTGCCGGATAGATACCGCCTCTCTTTTCCCCGCACAAGCATTGCTATCTTGTCAAATCAACAAATTCTTTACTCAAACTCGTCCAAACTTCCGGCGTTATTACGCTTTAGAAAGAAGAATACCAGGCTTGCAATATTTTTCTGGGAACGTTGTAAGTTAAAAAAGCCATAAATTGTTTTCTTTAGCAAATACGTCTTTATTTATTGAAGAATTATTGCGTATTTAAAAATCTCTACAGACAACACATTTCTAGCATACCAGGGGCGTACTATGACAAATATAGAATCGAATTTATATTATTATTCAGACATTAAATATAAAACGCTACAACAATGTAAATACATATCGTTGAAACTATTATGGACAGACTGTTACGGATCACACTAAAATGGACTGTTTGCCCTTCGTGGTGTACTAAATACCCCAGATTCATAGTCTCAGACCGACACGAAAAGTAATTCATATTTAGATATTGATTTCAAAAATTAAACTTCTCAATATATCATTCTAGTGCAACAACAATTATCAACATGTATTCATCTGCATCCGTTTTTCATTCATTCTTCTATTGAAGAAGCCTTTATTTTTTATATACCCAACAATGCATTATAGGCATTTACTTGTTACATTTAAAACAACCCTCGTACATATTTTGTATGATCCTTTCGTATATGTTTACACTAATTAATGTAAATCTAAATTTTAACAAGAATACACAATTAGCTAAGACAATGCTCATCACGAAGAGTCTCACATTAATACCACCAAACAATAACAACCGTAATATGCAAATTTGCATACGTAAAAACCTTTAAAATATCCAAAGAAATTATCAAAGAGACCATCAGCAAACAAACACCTTTTGGAGCGAGTTTCTTGACTTTTATTTCGGTTTTTATTATGGCAAATGTACATTACTTAATTCGAGTTGTTTATCTTTTATATCATCGACTCCTTCGCTTGAAAAAGAGAGCACCTCTCGACATTTTTAACTGCTCATTATGTGGGTGGGACCGTTATAAATACAGAGGCGAACGCTCCGGCAGAATGACAAATTAACAAAAAATGTTTGCGAATGTTTTTAGCACAGCTAAGAACATTGATATATCGTGTTGGTGTCAAAGTTATAAATTATCAAGTGTGTGAAAGACAATAAATTTATTAGATCATCAGATGAATAAAACTAAAAAACACAAATTGGGACTAAAATTAATAGTTTTAAATTCAACAGTTAATAGAAATAGGTAATTAACGCAAAAAAACCCAACATCAAATCTCGAATGTTACAATTCTTCGGACATATGCGAAATAAATCCAGATATGATCTCATTCAAGCCGTCCTGCAAGGAAAAATATTTGGAAACGAGGTCCAGGAAGAAGAACAACATCTTGGTTAAAGAATATCAGAATCTGGTTCAATACAACATCTGTGCTCCTTTTCCGAGCTGCTGCAGATAAGATAAATATTCTGCCCTGCTAAGCTGAAAGGTCCTATCTACCAATTGTACTATTTTGAGAAAAAATGCAAATTAAGTTTAGTTTGCTGCGCCATTCCGTAATATTAATGATATCGAACTGTAATTTTGAACGAACTTAATTTGTGTATATAGAATTTATGGGATAATCCAAGGAAGTAATTAGTTTAGAGCATACATAGATTTTGATAGATGATTGGATAGGTTTAGCTTAGGATTTTATTAAAAATCTCAGATAGGACAAGATTTTTTTTATAACGAACTTTTATTGGACTTATAACGAGACATTTATTTTTTACATTGCATTAGTATAGCCCTCTAAAGTTGTAAAAAAAACTTATAATACTCCATTTTCGTGTTCTTCGGCTACATAGCCTACCAGCAATTTCTTCCCAAAACTGTCTCCAGTTGGCTGGAGCTGGAATTATAGTTATAGCAGCAACTTCTGTGTTCTCTCTTGACTAATTCTTCGGTTGGAGGTTTGTGGAGGTAGAAGTGTCACACCAGTTTTAAATGTACCTGCAGTTAAAATGTTTAGTTCTGTCAAATTTTTTGTGTCGTACGAGTTTTTTATATTTTAATGTTTTCTCGCCTCTCGAAAAAATTGCCAGCCAAATATTATCGAGATAGCAGCGTGGCATAACTCTTTTAATTTGTATTTTGAACTGAAATCTGCCCACTCATATAAATGTCTATTCTCTAATGCTACAACATTAAAACAACAGAACTTCTGTAGCATTTACTATATAGACTAAAAATCTGAACAAACACCAATTCTTGTTCTTGTTCTAATCCAGCCAAATAGTATTGATCCTTCAGTCCTGTTTTTTAGGAAGAATGCGTTAGAAGTGTATATCTTCTTCACTATATCTTCTTTTCTTTTCCTCTTCTCGATATTCCTTCGTGTCACAGAATTACTAAAGGACGGACGTCCCTATCTTTCCCGACAGAACCAAAACTTCCGTTAAAAGCAATTATGCGCCTAGTAAAAATGACTTATTTAAACATATCTGCTATTGAAAGCATTTACTTTCTGAAGATCTACTGAAACTATGAGATTGATGATTTTAGTTGCTATTCTGCTTGTTTTTCATACTTTTTCTGACAGTTATATATTTATTTCTGTGAGATACAAAGTTTTTAACACACTCACACATTGTGTGTTGGATTAATATGATTGGTTTCGGTCTTATGGAGTTCATATGATGCACACTGGAAGCACTCTTCACAGCCAAG